CTCTCACACACACACACACACACACACACACACACACACACACACACACAGTCTTTCCCCCTGTAGATTGAATTTGATGGTGTCTTTTCTTTTCTCTATTTCTCATCATAAAGCATTTATCTCCTCATATTATTCTCATTAATAATAATTGTCTACATTATTGCTTTGAGCATATCTAGTACTCCCGGTCATTGGGAAATAATTTGAAGTGTTCCACTATGGGTTATGAATTCTGGTTGCACAGAGGCAACTTCTTCATCATACCACATTATGAAAAAACCAGAACTTAATTCTGCAGTATTATATGTTAAAGAAGAGGAACACTTTTGCTTGATTTGCAAATTCTGCTTTCCAAAAATTCAAATGTTTCAGTAGTCATGTATGGTTGAGACTAGACATGGAGACGAATATAAAAACAAATTAGGATATTCAATGAATATCCTGGATTTGTCAGATAGTTGTTGTTTCGTATTCTTGGAGTCCAGAGACCCCAACAAATACGAAGCAACAAATATAACCCTTTTATATTAATCCCTTTGTTCCCTATCTGCATGTGCCCCCGTGGATCAGCTTTCCCCCAGGGGCATAAGCAGAAAGGGATTTTCCCGTCTGACAGCTCGCTAAAGCTTGCCAGAAGGGAAACCCACCCCTGGGGCTGGGGGCTGGCTTGGCTTGGATTGGGTTTTCCCTCTCTTTCTGTGCCCTGCGGGGACATTGGAAGAGGGGGCAAGGGATCAAGTGATCCCCTGACTCTGTTGCCTTTGCAAAGACAGTGAGGCCAGGGAATGGCTTCAGTCCAGCTTTCCCCCTCTTTCTATGCCGTGGTGGCATAGGAAAAAGGGGAAAGGGATCAAAGTGGGGACCACAAGGGCAACGGAGCTGCAGGATCACTTTGATCACTTTCCCCCTCTTCCTATGCCACGTAGCATAGGAAGGTTGTGGGGGCTGGACCTTTTTTTATAGCCCCAGGGGCTGTCTAATTTTTTTTAAATGACCTGATGAACCAATGAATTGGGCCACTTGGGAGCAATTCGTGGTTCATGGGTGATGAAGTTTGATGACCCATGAAACAAGACGAAGCACCATTTTGGTGCCTCATCCCCATCTCTAGTTGAGACTAACAGGGCTGCTTCATTGGATGATTCCATCCTGTTTCAAGAAAGGCATTTTATTTCCAAAGACTAAATTTCCAAAAATCTTTTTTTTTAAAAAGGTGGAAAATACAAAAATGGTAATAAGTGCTGCTCACCTGATCTTCAGTGAAAGAGATTTTCCTCCCATCTCCACGTAAATTGTGAAAGACCTCTGGGGAGATGAATATAAAATTTCATTATGGGGGTGGAAAAGAAGAGTTTATAAAGCTACCTAATAAAAGAATAGTTCTGTAACGTACTGTGAATTCTTTTTTAAAAAACACCTCTACATTTAGTTACTAATATCTAAAACATAAAAAAGCAGCCTTGAACAGCTTTGGGTTCTGTGGCGGAACCCACACATCACGCCTCTCCATCATGGGAAGCAAGGGTGGGAGCCTATGAGAGGACAGGAGGGGCGGAACAAAAAGGACAGGGAGACAGTTAGTCAGACAGTTAGGGAAGGGAGTTGGAGAAAAGAGGTTGCAGATAGGGAATTGAAAGAGTTAGGAGACTGTATTGAGAAAGTTAAGAGAGAATGCTAGAGAGAATAGGAAAGAGTGTAAAAT